TAATTTTTATTTTGTTTATTAATTTCAAATTTAAAGCAAAAGTTGAAAAAATGCTCTTTTTTTATTACTCATGTTTTTCATATCATTTAATTTTTAAGTTTTTTGTAAAAAAAATATTAATAAAGAAATTCCTACTGATTGAAAAAATTTTGTAAAAATAAATATATAAATATATAATCCATTTAACTCGGTCTTGGTCGAATTTTAGCACAACATTAACTAATATGAGACTGCATCCACTGCACTGACATAATTTTCCTTGTCGTTTGAATGCACTTTTAGTTTTGAACTATTCTTTGTATCATGTATCTTACGTGAACTATTTTATCGACAGTAGATTCTCAGAGGACGCTAGTGTCTACAGTGTGGATCAAATAAACCATTTTCACAAAAATATTTTATTTATGAGAAATTATCTCAAATAGTTTGTTCTTCAAAATTTTCTTCGATACAATTATGTAAATACCATGAAATTTGTACGAATCAAAACTTATTACTTTTCTTAGTGATTAACAAAAAATATTATAGCAAACGGGCCATTTTCTAATTTATATTTCATTATTTGAACTCTAGGGAATTTGATTTTAGTACATTTTATCATCATCAGCACTTATTGCATTCGGGGCATTCTGAGGCACCCATTTTTTTACCTTTCACTGCTTACGCACCGAGAACCGTTCGTTTTTTCGAAAAAAATGTGGACACCTTTTTTTGTAGAAAATCGAATTCTCTACAAAAAAGTCTGCGAGAGCATATACTTACCTGAATATGAATAGGTAATTATGATAATTATATGCAATCTTAACGAATGTAAAAAAAAAAAATTGGCCGTGGCTGAGATCGAACCCTTATCGGCGGAATAAAAGTCTGGTGCTCTGACCACAGAGATAGCATACATTCATTTGAAATTTTATATTTATTAATTATAAGCTGTCGGCTTGGGTACAGAAAGTGGGAATAGAGCTTGCCGTCGAAGCGCCGGAACTCACCGTGGATCGTTTTGATTGTTTTTTTAAGTTTATCATTACGAATTGTTTAAAGAATGATCTTTTGAGGCTGGGCTGAAGTCAGAAAGTTTCCCAGAGTTGACATTACGCCCTCGTGTTGTGCGGCAAAAGGCCGAAGCTTGACATCAACTGAAATTGAGTAGGTAACAGGGAAATCGTTCGAAAAATGATAATTTTCAGGGATGCACTACAAAAAGGGAGCCTTAGGGCACCAAGAAATTTACAAATTTTTGAATAATCTGTTTCGAGCAAGACAGAGCACAGAATATATCTATCTCCGTCTTATTTTTCAGAGAAGACTGCGAGTTCGAACAGTTGACGAGCAAGCACATCCCCACCCTCTGTTACTAAGCCTGAAGCTTACGATATCTAAACGTAAACAAAGCAAATAAAAATATGCTAGCTCTATAGTCAGAAGGTTCGACTAGAGATGTGAATCGGTAATTGACGGGTAAATTTACCGTAAATTACCGGTAAAAAACGCGTCAATGACCAAGCCTGTTTTACCATACCGGTCAGAAAAATGCTGATCTCTGATTGGTTAATACATGTCCAATCACAGTTTAGAATTCCCAACGGCATACAACTGTTTATTTGTCTATCAGGTATATATTTTCATTTTTATTTGTTTATTAAAAATACTGATAATATTTAATATAAGAATATTCAATTTGTAGATAAGGATTTTCATTGAGAACTTGGTGCAATGGGGGAGAACAAATCAATATATAAACATTTCTCTGCATTACCTCTGCAACCTAACCAAAAATTAAAATCGTATTCATGTAACTATTGCAAGAAAAAGTATGCAGAAAACATTACTCGCATGCGAAAACATCTTTATAAAGAGTGTAGAAGTTGTCCTCAAGACTTACGGAAACTTTTAAAACCATGTAAACCTCGTAAACGAAATAATTCTCATCTAAACAGCACAGACGACTCATTTACTATTGAAGATTTGAATGAAGCAGACAATAGAGCAAGTACTTCAATGATTTCAAATGAAAATTTACCAAATAATATAAGTGTTTGTAGCAATAACTATAAAAAAAATACAATCGATAGTTTTTGTGATAAAATGTCAAAAAAAGATGAAGATTCTCTACAAGAACTACTTGCAGAAGCGATTTATGCATCTGGTACACCATTATGTATAACAGAAAATCCATATTGGCTAAAATTTTTTAACGCATTACGGCCTTCATTTAATTTGCCATCAAGAAATCAAATATCAAATAATCTTTTAGATTCAGTATTCGTTAGAACACAAAATATGGTTAATGAAAAAATTGAATCTGCTACTACTGTTGGAGTGCAATGTGACGCATGGTCTAATATTCGCAAAGAAGGAATCATCAATTTTATTGTAACAACCCCAGCGCCAGTTTTTTTCAAAACATTTCCAACTGGAACCGAATCACAAACTGCCTTATATATTTCTGAAAAAATAGGAAGTGTTATTGATGCTTTGGGAATTAAAAAAGTTATCGGAATTTGTACAGATAATTGTGCTGCAATGAAAAGTGCTTGGACTTTGATAGATCAAAAGTATAATGTCGACAAATTGTATTGTTATGGTTGTGCTGCTCACATTCTTAACCTACTCATGAAAGATATTGGTAGTCAAGCAACTGTTGAAACTTTGGTGACAAGTGCAACAGCTATTGTAAAAGGAATAAAAGAAGTACAAATAATGTCAGCGATTTTCAAAGAAATTCAATCTCAAGATGAACGTAGAGTATTTATTACCTTAAAATTACCAGCTAAGACAAGATTTGGATCTACTATAATTATGATTGACAGTCTTTGTGTTAATAAGCATAATCTTCAGGCTTTAGCAATTTCTTCAAAGGCTATTACATTATGGAAACCTGCTTCTCGTGCTCTTGTACTAAATGAAGAATTTTGGAATAATCTTCAACAAATTCTTCAATTGATGAAACCGATTGTAAAGTGGATAAATATTTTAGAGGGTGATAACCCTTTAATAAATAAAGTACCTGAATGTTTTTATGATTTATATAATCATTTTAATAATGCATTTAATAATATTGGAAATATTTTTTCGGAAGAAGAAAAGCTGAGCATATATACTTGTTTAGAAAATCGTAAAACTATGGCTCTACGGCCCATACATTATGCAGCTAACTTACTTGATCCTCAATTAAAAGGAAAAAATTTAAATAGGTCAGAAATGGTTGAAGCTCATCAATTAATTATAAATCTTGGTGATAAATTAAATCTAAATAGTGATAAGGTATTAAAAGATTTAACAGATTATGTGTCAGAATCAAGTATGTGGAGTTACGACTACGTTAAGCGAGCAAGTATAATCACTTCAGCATGTCAATGGTGGCAAAGTATTTGCCAAAAATCTTCGTTGAGCAAAATAGCTGTGGCTATATTGACTTTACCTGCAACATCAGCTGCAACTGAGCATGAAGAAGTTGAATTTTTAGAAGAAGAATTTACTCAAGACTAATTAGTGATGTTGATGGAATTGAATCAGTATTAGACTTGTTATTTCTTAATGAAATATGTCAATTATTATGTGATATTACTAGTTGATAGAAACTATAGATTATATGGTTTTACTTTTTCATAAATAATTTACATAAAAGTTAAAAAAGTCAAATTCTTTATAATATGTAATAACGAAGGATTATCTATTTTATAAAAAAAAATGTACCAAAAACTTAACTAAATAAACGTTTATAATAATTTTCAATATATTTATTATTTCTGTCCTAACAGTCAAAAATGTAAAATATTTTTTTTATTACAAATTACAAAATTTTTTTTTCATCTTATAATAATTAATTAGTTTTAAATTAACAAGTGCAAAAAGCAAAATTAACTTAAGCAAATTGGCAAGCAAGTTCGAAAGCAAGCCATTTCCTCGGTAAAAAGCTCATCATATTCATCTATATAGATGCGAATGACCGGTAATTTACGGTAATTACGCTGACCGACGGCTTGACGGTAAATTTTACATTCAGAATTTTTTGACGTCAGAATACCGTCAGATACCGGTAATTTTACGTGGTAATTACCGAATTTTCTATTACCGGTAAATTCACATCTCTAGTTCTGGATACGGATTGAGCATTTTTTCAATATGAATGACTGAGGTCATCTGCGAGCATAATGCTGTCACCTATCAGAATTTTTTCAAACTAATTTTCCGGAGAATATCATCTGGAATACAATATTTCTAATTATTTCTGAATTATTCAATTTTATACTATAAATTGATTTTTTTGACATTCAGACAGATGGCAAAGACTGACGCAAACACGAATTTTGGGCGAAAAACGTATAAAAATAGAATAATTAGTGATTTTTCATCTGAATAATGTGGCCGCCATCTTGAAATTTAAGCGCGGCAAGTCAATTCATAATTTTTTCATTATTCTTTCTAATTTTTTTAATAAAAATATTCACTATATACAAAAAATTGTTGTTTACGTCAGTCCGGCATTAATTCCTCTGTAATTTGGTACCTAATTTTATAGAAATAATAGTAAATTGGCGAAGAAATTAGAAATATCCCGATCCCATGTATTTGGATAGGGGGAATCAGTCGCCTTTCTGACTTCAGCCCAGCCTTAACGATGTTATAATACCAGAATTTTTAAATACTCTCGATCTACTAAATTATCCTTCTCATTCAACTTCGATTACGATTAAGCACTGTTGTCATGTTAATTAGAAGTCTCAATATTGATGAAGGAATATCTAATGGAACTGTATAGAATTGTATAGAGTAGAATCTAACTACTCGTTGGAGTTTGTATGTAACTTTACTTAATTAGATACAATTTTATATAAACATATATAATTGTATCAAACTCAATGAAAAATATATATCATTGTATACCATAATGTAAAGCTGTATATAATCGTGCACAGCTAGATAAAATTTTGTACTAGTGTCATATACGCTTGAAATGTTGTTCTTATATTTGGTGCCGGAAATAACTTTATTTTATATTATCTTTTGGTTCTTTGGATTTATTTACGAATATGAATATAATCGTTATTATGAAATTAACTCTATTATATGTCCTAATATTGCAGTCAGTTCAAATTTAATGGTCATCGTTGATTATTAACTCCACTATTGCCTGTTGCCCCATCAGGATTAGCAGCTGATGTGAGTACAACAAAAATTAATGCTGGTACAATGTACATCCACTAAAAATAACATAAACAGGTGAATAAACGTCATTATAAATTATAGAGGGTAAACAAAATAAACAAACTTGAAATACATTAAAAAATTAACAATGAGTACACTGATAACATATAGTGAAAACTTAGAATTGATTGTTGCTAAAATATATATTAAATGTTCAATTTATTCTATTATTGTACGAAAATGTATTTATTAACAAATTATTATTATTATTATCAAGAGGTATTGGTTTTCTTTTAATATAATTTGTACTAATAAATATTGACTAGTTAAGAAGTATTTAAGAAATTTTTTAAAAATATTATCAAAATTGTCAGAGAAAATTATTGAGATTTAGAGTGGTGAAACTCACCCTCAGTGATTAAATTTATTTCTTTCTTTTTCTATATTTCCAGATAATCAAAAAAATTATACTTCATTATTAACTACCGCAATAATTTAGATAGTTCACACAATAAAAAACATAAGCCGTAAACGTACAATTGAAGAACGGATAATATTGAATATAAATGCTGTGTTTTTATATCGGAGGATATAGAAGTATACAGTACGTACTACGTTTTTTGCTGTGTAAATTACCGTAGTTTCTTTGCAACAATGCAATAACTTTCAAGAACGAAAGATTACTTACATATTTAGCAAGGAATGAACGACTATCCTTTGTTTCACCACGTTCTCTTGCTTCTTTTTCTTTTTCCAGCTTGTACATGTATGAGGTAGTATCGGGCATAAGTCCACTATCCGGAAATCTTACTTGTACGCTAGTCGTCCACATAGTAGAAGAAGGTGAACTTTTTATGCAAGGTCCTGGTGAAACTTGGGTAATAGAAATTATTTCTCCCGCCATATCGAGCCAAAGTATCAAAATATCTTCAAGTGAAGTTCCAAATAAATGGCACTGTTAGATAAAAAAAAATTTACTTATAATCTTTTTGCTATACCTTTTTTCGGCTTCATAATTATCATTTCAATAATTTTAATATTAAATATAATTTTTTAATGATTATATCTTGATATAACATTAAAAATAGATTAGAACTGACTGACAATAAAGAAAAAATTTAGGCCACTGAGATAAGAAATGGACTGTGTAGCATAAAAAACTGTCTTGCATAAAAGTGGTCTTGATCATTTATTTGAATCCATATCTATGGAGAATCACAATAAATAAATCCATATTCATATGCTTACTGCTGGAACGGATGTTAGAAATGTAGTTTCAGTGCCTAACGAAGAATGAGCAGTTATTTTTAGTCGATATTTTTCATTATTATCAGCAATTGTTTTTAAATCAGATAGTTGTGATAATTGTAATCCTCTTTGATTAATTACTGACTGTCCACTACGAACATGAGTGATCGTAATGTTTCCTCTTTCAATGAAATAGGGTGTAGCATGATTATTCAATGCATGATATAAACGTAAATGAATCCAGTGATTATAGTCTAATTCATTCTAAAAAAGATTCAAATCATTATTGATGTTGACGTAAATAAAAAAATGGCTCATTGAATGCTATTGATAATTAATACATACCGCAATAATAAATGATAAACAGAAACTATGTACAATATATGTTCCGCAGGTTAATTTCATTTTAGTTTTACGCTATTAAGAATTTGATTATTGTATTCCTTAAATGTTTATATCAAAAAAGACAGCAAGAGTAGAATTCCTGATCACAATTGTACTTCCAGTGAATACGTGAAAATAACAAAAATCAAAATTTTTCAAGTGACGCAAGGAAAAAATTTTTTTATATTAAATTAAAAACACTTCCTTGGACACAATAAACAATAAGTAATTTAGCAGTAATGATTGTTATTTTATTGAGTTAATTTGAGAATCTCTCAGTGTTGTACAATGCGTGTTTCGGTTGTTTAGATATCAGTTTTGTAAGTTATTATTATTATTAAGGCTGGGCTATACACTGACAGAAATTTTTTCCGGTGGCGAATTATAGAATTTACTTGTCCCCAGTATAAAAGTGATAGGTAAAAAAGTTTCGGAAGGCAGGTAAAGAAAGTACCTGGAATGGGAGCGTGACATCCGTCCCCAATAAGATGTCAGTCAAAGGCATTTTTACAATCTTTTAAATTTGAATCTTTAAATGTATAATCTTACTGATTGTTAATCAAATTCTATGATGCCCAGATTTTTTATCTAATGATCATTTTAAAAATAAGCTTTATTCTTTTAATCTTTTAAAATTGGTTTTTTTTATTTTCAATCATTTAATATTCAATCAAATTATAAAAATTTTTCTTTTTTTAATGTTTATCATTTCGTTGAACAGTCAACTTAAGAAATTAGGACTGGTAAGTTATCTTGCGTCGGTATAGTAGAAAAAAAAATTCAACTAGTGTCACTGTTTTCTAATAGATGACAGTAATTACACTGTTTTCAATCAAAAATTCAAAATACTTATATGATTTTAAATTTTGAATTGTTTAATAGCAACTTTACTTACCAAAAATAAATATTAGATTGATCTTCTTGAAATGGAGCATAATTTTCTTCAAAACCAATTACTTATATCGATATTTTTCATCGTTAGAGATATACCACATCAAGTTATATTGAGTTAATTTCTTTACAATATCAATTACACAATTCAAAATAATAAAAAAATACTTTACTTTTAAATTGAATTTTTCTTCAATATATTTCCTTTTTTTGTTTCATCAATCATTTAAGTTACTGAATTACTTGCTATTTCTTCAGTTAGTTTGTGTTTTAATTGACTATCAGTAAGACAGTCTTCTAGTATTATCGTAATTATAAATAAAATAAAATATATTATTTGTATCATTAATTTACGCTTAGTTTAACTTTTCTAATAAAGTTAGTTTCTTCCATTGTGTAATGAAATTTTTTAAACAGGTTTTTTTTCAATATAATTTTTATTTCAAACTCTTTTTTCATTAATGACATATTTTTTAAAAATCAAAATAAATTTTCACACAAATAAATTATATATTGAAGAGAAATAAAATAAAGATCCTATTAAATTTTTATTATTACTCAATTAAGTTCACACGACAATTAGTTTTAACACAAAAAAGTAATTTTTTGGGTAAATATTAAAATACATTTAATATATATATTTATACATATTCATAATTCTGTATTGAATTAAATTTCATTTTTCAGATCGATTAATAAACATAATTTGTGACAGTGACATTGAATATTGTAGAATAATGAATGAAACTACACGACAGAATCATTCTCGAGCAATTCAACATACAATTGACTTGTACATTAATAATTTACAAGAGTCCTTGAGAAATGGAAGGTACTTATATAATTTGTTAATTTATTCAATCATTTTATATTAAATTTAAATAATTTGTTATAATATCAATTTATATATAGGATGACATTGTCAGAATATTTGTAGGCAGTAGTTGAACGCACAAATATTCGACGGGAGCTGAGACAACGTGGCTCATAATTTGGAAGTGTAGAAAACCAAAGTTAAAGAGATACCAGCAAATGTAAATTTTCTTAAATATAAATAAAAGTTATACTTATAACTTCAGGAATGATTTTTGAATTCTTTAATTGACCCTGATTATTTTATTTTAAAATAATTGAATTGAGTAGTGATTTATATTAAAATTTATTAATAAATTTATATTCATATTATATTTATATTTAAATTCAGTTAAATTAAGGTATTCATTAAAAATACTGATTTATTTTTATAAAAACTTAAGTAATAAAACTTTTTTTTTTCGTTGCACGAAAATCGTTTATGTTTATTAAAGAAGAGAATAATACTGACAGACATTATTTTTGAAGTTTTTCAACTTTTTAATAATTCAGTTTTCAAATTTTTTTCACTTGGATTACGTTATTACGCTAACATTAAGATAAAAATGTTATTATCATTAGATTATAAGCCTAAATATACTTATTTATGTAGTGGGAATTACATGACATTACATGAGCCAGAAAGAAGACTTTTTTTTGTATAAGCATTTTGAATTTTTGATTGAAAACAGTGTAATTACTGTCATCTATCAGAAAACAGTGACACTAGTTGAATTTTTTTTTCTACTATACCGACGCAAGATAACTTACCAGTCCTAATTTCTTAAGTTGACTGTTCAACGAAATGATAAACATTAAAAAAAGAAAAATTTTTATAATTTGATTGAATATTAAATGATTGAAAATAAAAAAAACCAATTTTAAAAGATTAAAAGAATAAAGCTTATTTTTAAAATGATCATTAGATAAAAAATCTGGGCATCATAGAATTTGATTAACAATCAGTAAGATTATACATTTAAAGATTCAAATTTAAAAGATTGTAAAAATGCCTTTGACTGACATCTTATTGGGGACGGATGTCACGCTCCCGAGTAGACTACAAGCGGTTGAAGAAGTAATAAGTATACAAATTTTATGAAAATAAAGGACTTGTATTTAAGGCTGGGCTGAAGTCAGAAAGTTTCCCGGAGTTGACTTTACGCCCTCACGTTGTGCGGCGAAAAGCCGAAGCTCGATATCAATTGAAATTGAGTAGGTAACAGAGAAATCGTTCGAAAAATGATAATTTTCAGGGATGCACTACAAAAAGGGAGCCTTAGGGTACCAAGAAATTTACAAATTTCAGAATAATCTGTTCCGAGCAAGACAGAGCACAAAATATATCTATCTATCTCCGTCTTATTTTTCAGAGAAGACTGCGAGTTCGAACAGTTGACGAGCAAGCACATTCCCTACCCTCTGTTACTAAGCCTGAAGCTTACGATATCTAAACGTAAACAAAGCAAATGAAAATATGCTAGCTCTATAGTCAGAAGGTTCGCCAGTTATTTTACCGAACGATGTTCGATTCCAATTGCGGCAAAATTTTTTTTTATTTAAATTGCATGTAATTGCAATTTTATCATGCCAAAAATGAGTTTTAAATTTCAATTTTTATGTAAAATTTTTTTTTCAATTAATCAATGACAAATGAGAAAATATTTGAACAGGGCCATTAACCTTTTTTTGTACAAATACATTGATAATAGCCTTTTTTAACAACTTATTAATAATAAAAAATTGTTTAAACAATCCGCGGCGAGTTCCGATACTTCGCCGGCAAGCTCGACCCCCACTTTCTGTGCCCAAGCCTGTAGCTTATAATTTTCAAGCATCGTTTATATAATTGGAACTATAATAGCTCAGTGGTTAGAGCCCCGACCTTTTATTTTGCTGGGCAGGGTTCGATCCCAGTCATAGGCAATTTTTTTTTCTGTTTCTTGTTCAAGTGACTTTATATACTTATAAATCAATTCATATATTTTATTACATTATTCTTCCAATTAATTACGAAAAAAAACTTGTTTTTCTGAAAATAAGCTGAGGGTGAGGAACGAGTTACTATGAATTCTCTTTTTTAGAAAATGTTGTCTTTAAAAGACACTATGAATTGATTTTGAACTTCTACAAACAACCAATTATTGTATTTATATAAAATTTTAATGAAAAAAAAAAATTGGCTATAACTGGGATCGAACCCTAATCGGTAAAATGAAAGCTTGGTGTTCTACCTACAGAGCTAACATATTATCTCTGACATCATGTTTATGTTTATAAATTGTATAATGCAGGCTTGAGTACGAAGGATAGGGATAGAGTTTGCCGGCGAAGTGCCGGAAATCCCCGTGGATTATTTCAACTACTTCTAAATATTTCTAAATTGCTTAAAAAAAAGCTACGTTCATATAGCTATAGTAAAAAAAGTGTTTATAACCCTGTTCATATGTTTTCCGACTCGACGTTGATAAATTACATAAATAATTGAGAAAAATAAATCAAATCGTTGGTAAGAATTCATTTTAGCATGTTAATATTATAATTACATGCAAATCTAACAAATGAAAAAGAAAAAAAAAAAACTTTACCATGACTGGAATCGAACCCTGCCCATAAAAATAAATGACCGATGCGTTAACCACCGAGCTATTATGATTACAAAACATTTATATATGCTCAAAAATTATAAGCTGCAGGCTTGGGCATAGAGAGTGGGGGTAGAGCTTGCCAGCGAAGTGCCGGAACTCGCCACGGATTGTTTAAACTACTTTTCAATGTTGATAATAATATGATTAACTTGTTAATAACATAAGATTGTTAATACATGTAAAGATGTATAAGTTGTTAAACACAGGCTATTATCAATGTATTTATACAAAAAGAAAGTTTATGGCTCTGTTCAAATATTTTTCGACTTAGCGTCAATAAATTCAATGAATAAAGAGAAAAAAAAATCAAATTGTTATAAAAGATTAATTATAGCATGTCAATATTATAATTACATGCTAATCTAACGAATAAAGTAGAAAAAAAAAAATTGGTTATGACTGGGATCGAACCCTGCCCGGCAAAATAGAACTCTGACGCCCTAACCACATGGTCAGCATAATCTCGATATTGAGTTAATGTATATTTGTTTTTATACTACATGCTTGGATACGCCGACTTGGAATTGAGCTTCCTTATTAACATTTATACCTAATAAAAATGATAATAATGGATGAATATATGTATTTGAAGTTATTTGCAGGTATTATATTAATTAATGTTAAATGAGTATCATCATTTTTTTTTATCCTAACTGCAATAGTCATCAAAGTGTAGGGCATTGTAAAGTGATACACTATGTTTACATCACATACATATATTACCCGTACACACACATACAGAATTTACTCGCCAAAATGCAGGGCACCATCAGTTCTGGATACGGATTGAGCATTTTTTCAATATGGATGACTGAGGTCATCTGCGAGCATAATGCTGTCACCTATCAGAATTTTTTCGAACTAATTTTCCGGAGAATATCATGTGGAATACAAGATTTCTAATTATTTCTAAATTATTCAATTTTACACTATGAATTGATTTTTTTAACATTCAGACAGGTGGCAAGGACTGACGCAAACACGAATTTTGGGCGAAAAACGTATAAAAATAGAATAATTAGTGATTTTTCATCTGAATGATGTGGCCGCCATCTTGAAATTTA